GTAGCCACGCCCCCCGTGTGGCCACGCCCCTCCCAATGATCTCGCGATGCCCGGCTTGTGGGCGGTGCAAGCCCTGAGTGGCGCCGACGAGGGGCGGCTCTGAATGGCGCAGGCAGGGGGTGGCTCCGCGGGCGGGGCCCCGGGACAAGTCGCCCGGACTCGCCATGGCCGCCTTGCGTGTCCTCCTGGCCCTCGCCCGCAGCCCGATGAAGCTCCAGGCCAGCTCCTCGACGCTGCGCTCCTTCGCCTCGGGTGAGCGGGCGTGTGGCTTCAGGGGCCGGCGTGCCTGTCCTGAGCCGCACCCCACGCCTGACCTCGACTCTTGGTGGACCCCAGACCTCCAGGCTGACCCCAGCCCCTAGGCTAACACTAAGGCAGCCCGGCTGCACCCAGCGTCCGCCCTGACCCCTATGCCATCCGGCCTCAGTGGACAGAGGGCACTGAGCCAGGTGGTCACTACCACCTGTGGCCGTTTCAGCGTTGACTGAAACCGAGGCGATGCCTTCACGTGTTGAGTGCGTTTAAGAGAAGTGCCGGCCGGCCGCGAGCCCAGTCTCCACTGTCCACCCACCATCGAGCTGTCCGTGCACAGCCTCCCCCCCCCGGTGACCCCGGATTCCCGTGCTGGAGCAGTCAGGCCACAGCTGGCCCGGGGCCCGTCCTCGTGCCCGAGGCCCAGCGCGGCTTTTACCTTCAGCCCTGACCTTCCCTCTGGTCATAGCCACAGCGGCGGTCATCCTCTGGCCAGCTGAATGGGACAGGCTCGCCACGACATTCTCCCAACTACTGACCAACCCTTGGGCAGTGCGGCTGTCCCCCCTCCACCTCCCCTTCACACTGGCCCCCAGCCTGCCCTCCTGAATGTCCGCACGCTCGCCTGTCCTAACCCCAGCCTGGCGCCCAGCAGGACAGACGGTCCACTGCAGTCGGTGTCCCCACCAGCAGGCGTGAGGAGCGGGAGGACAGCCTGGTCTGGGCTGGTGCCACATGTCCCCTGGTGTGGTCACCAAGGGAGCCCTGCCCTCTGTGCCTCGTCCCCGCAGGTGCCAACTTCCAGTACATCATCGCAGAGAAGAAGGGGAAGAGTAGCAACGTGGGGCTGATCCGACTGAACCGCCCCAAGATGCTCAATGCGCTGTGCAATGGCCTCGTGATGGAGCTGAACCAGGCACTGGAGGCCTTCGAGGGGGACCCGGCCGTGGGGGCTGTTGTCCTTACCGGCGGGGAGAAGGCCTTTGCAGGTAGGCAGGTGGCTTGAGGGTGTGGGCAGTGAGACGGCCAGCTGTTGGCATCCACCAGACACTGTGGGAGAAAAGAGAAAAATGGGCAGACTCTTCCTGTAAAGAGTCGTAGCCTGGAAACCTGGGGAGAGTCCCCAGGTCAAGACAATCTGACAGAGGTGGGTTGGCTTTTTGCAGGAAGAGGCAGCCATTGCAGGGTCTTTCAGACTGAAAGACATGTCCGTGAGCTTGGGTGAAGTCTAGAGTTCTAGAACTGTGCTAGGAACTCTATATAGGGTGTGGAGAACTGTAGGTAAGGCACTGTGTATAGGCTATATAGAACTCTGTAAGGGGCTCTGTATGGGTTGTGTATGATGCTAGGTAAGGGCTCTGTGTGGGGTATATGTCATGTTAGGTAAGGGGTTCTATAGGGTCTATAGGACCTGACAAGTTTTCTATGTACAGGATATGTATGTGTAGATACATGGAGAGAGAATCTGCTATGTGTGAGTTCTGACTCCACGGTCCACAAGAACAATGCCGTCTGGTGCAGAAACGCTGCTGACTCAGTGTGCATGTCCACAACAGCTCCAGGCTGTATGGGAGGGCTCTGGGTTCAGCAGCAGCATAACTGTCACGTGTTACCACTGTAGCCACGTGCGCCATGTTGGGTGCCTCCCTGCCAGGTTGGCTCTGGTGTGGGAGGTGATGGGGACGGCTCTGGCTCAGGGTCTGCACTCCCGTGGTAGAAATTCTCTGTGTTCTTTCTAGCGGGAGCAGACATCAAAGAGATGCAGAACCAGACGTTCCAGGACTGCTACTCTGGCAAGTTCTTGAGCCACTGGGACAGACTCGCCCAAGCCAGGAAGCCAGTGATTGCTGCAGTCAATGGCTATGCTGTGAGTAATCGCTCCAAGCTCCCACCATAGCTGAGACTGGAGTTTTGGGTTAATGCCTCCAGTCATTCCCAGGTCAGCAAGCGCCTCTCTTCCGTGCCCCTAAAAGCCAAGCGTGTTTCTGTGACAGGCAGACAGGAGCGCATCCCCCACCAGGCTGAGGACACGTGGTATTCACGTGACGTTTGTAGCCCATGACACCTCTCACCACCATTCAGGCCTGTGTCCTTGGTCTCGTGTCTCAGGATTGAGTCTGAGACACAGTTGCTGTCCACCTGGAGAGGGTCTGTGATTTCTTTATGTAATAAACTGTCCTTTGTTGTAGGCTGGGTAGCCAAATCCAATCCAGCCTTTTTGCAGGTCATTTCACTGACACACAGTCTCCCTGTTTGTTTAGGATTCTGTGTGGCTGTTGTTGGGCTCCTTGGCAAGCTGAGTGGTCATCAGAGGTTTTGTGGCCCACAGAGTGAGAACAGCACCCTGTGATTGACCTGCCCTGTCCTGCCAGGCTCTGTGTCTTGTCCAGCCTATGTGCCAGTCCATCATAACTGACTGGCCCTGCTATGCCTGGACTTCGCACTGTGTCCAGCTAGTGTGCCCAGCCACCGTAACACTGACTGATGCTCCCTGTCAGCCCTGCCATGCCCAGGCTCTCCTTCGTCTTAGCAGAATCTTAGTGAGCCAATCAGTAGCTTTCTGACTAGGTTCTGTGTCCACAGCTGGGCGGGGGCTGTGAGCTGGCCATGATGTGTGACATCATCTACGCAGGGGAGAAGGCCCAGTTTGGACAGCCTGAGATCCTCTTAGGAACCATCCCAGGTGAGTGACCAGTGGCTTGCAGCATGAAGCCACAGTGCAGACACTCCCAAAACCAGTGCTCATGGGAGTACTCGGTGATCTCCCGTGACAAGCTTACAGAGCCTTGGAGCCAGCATTCCAGGAGGCCAAGATTACAAAGCCAAGTCAGGAAAGTATGTGGGCCAGTGAGGCAAGTCCCATGGACCACCACTAACTGCTGACCATCCCTGTGTCCTCCCTGCTGTGAATGTTGAGACTGAGCCTGAATGGATGATGGATGTCTCTTCAGCCTCTTCAACACTGTCAGCAGAGGAGTGGGGCCAGGTAGTAGTCCCTCTCATCTGGAGGGGTCAGCACTTTGGGCTGGAGGATACTGACGGTGAAGGAGCTGCTTGGTTCTTAGATGCATGTTCAGAAGGACTAGGAGGGGGAACAGCGGCTCAGAATCTGTGGACCTCTCATCTAAACCCTGAATGGGTCTGAGCTGTGAATATCCTCTGAGTGTGGCCAGATTCTGGAGGGCTTGGGCCTCATGGCTTGAGCATTGGAACCAAGCATTTGTTGAGTTTCTAGCCAAAATCTACTGGAAAGGGGCCTTTGCCTGGGACGTGGGGGTTGGGAGTGATGAGGCTTGTGGGCTTCTAGGAGGGTGAGCTGGGGAGAGATTGTGGGTCTAGGACCTACACACTAGGTTACTGTATTCTCAGAATGTTTTGGGTGCAGGAGGGATGCCAGCCTGCAAAGGGCTTGGTTGTGGACTTCAGAGCTAACTCTAACAATGGGTCCTTTTCAGGTGCAGGGGGCACGCAGAGACTCACGAGGGCCATCGGCAAATCGCTGGCTATGGAAATGATCCTTACTGGGGACCGGATCTCAGCCCAGGAGGCCAAGCAGGCAGGTGTGACCATAGTACATTACAGTGGAGTACAGAGAGACTCAGATGAACAGTGTCCTGTGACTGCAGGCTGCCTTCCCTCTCTGTCCTGAAATAGTATACACACAGAAGAGTGACTAAGACACACACACAGGTCAGAAACTCCTTGGAGGAGCCTCAGACCACCTCACGTCACTTCACCAAGGGAGATAAGATCTTCAGCCACTCCGCTGAGTCCTGAGAGGCCAGAATCAACATCTAGTCCTCTTGTCCATTTACGAGTTCTGACACCAGCTTCCCCTCCACATACTCTCTTCCTCATTTGAGTCCAAGAAGTTATTGCATTGGCTGCACAGAACACCTAGACCATGAGCACAGTTAAGTTTACTAGGGAAGCAGCCTATTACAGCTCAAGATTAGTACAGCCTCTTAGCTCTGCCTGCAGGCAGGCCTCTCCCCGACCTGAGTTCTGCTGACTTCTTGGGCTGGTCCAGCAGCTTCCCTGTTCAGGCACATGTCACAAAGCTCTTTAGCTCTATCAGTATCAGTAAATGTCCAGAAGCCACACTCTACAGAAAGCTGTGGCCCAAAGGTGCTCAGCTATTTGCTCTGTGGGTGAGAACACCCACTGTGCTGTCTTCTGCTGATCTGGTTCTGCTACCACTTTGACCAGTTCTTTCGTGAGGGTTCCATACATCTTACCATACATCCTGCCAAAAGCCCCATTGCCGTGGCTAGTGAGCGGTCCATTCCCTCCATGGGGCTTTACTTCACCCAGTCACACGGTAGGAGGGACAAAAGCTGTGGCTGGAAAGACCACGTGAAGTGATTCTCAGTACAGAAGTCAGTTTTCTTGGTGAAATCTGACACTTCTCTAGAAGTGAAAGGAATGGTTGTTGTTAGGTGCCATCAAGTTGAGTATGACTCATAGCAACCCTGTGCACAAATGATCTGAAACCTGTTCTATCCTGTGCCGTCCTCACACTTCCTGACGCAGAAGAGCCCAGGCAGCAGTCACCATATCAATCCACCTGATTGAGGGTTGTCTTCTCCTTCACCGACCCTCCACCCTTCCCAGCATCGTGTCCTTATCCAAGGAATAGCACCTCCTAGCAACATACCCAAAGTATGTGAGGCTAAACCTCATCATTCTTGCCTCCAAAGAGCACTCCAACTGCACCCTCTCCAAGACTTACCTGTTCTCTTGGCCATGCATAGGATGTTCAATACTCCTTTCCAAGCACTACAGCTCAAACGTGTCAATTTCTTCCCATCATCCTTATTCATGGTCCAGCTCCCAGATGCATAGCAAGTGATCAGAAAAACTGGCCAGAATCAGACGTTCCTTAGTCCTCCAACTGACATCAGTACTCAATAATTGCGAGAGGTCCCTAACTGCAGATTTTCCCAGTACAATACATCTCCTTATTTCCTGACTGCTGGTACTAAGAGTGTTAATTGTAGATCCAAGCAAGATGAAGTTGTTGACAGTTTAAGTCTCCTCTCTATCCATCATGATGCTGCCTGTTGGTCCAGAGGTAAGAATCTTTGTTTTTTGACATTGAGATGCAATCCATGCTGAAGGCTGCATTTCTTGATCTTCTGCAACAAGTGTTTCAAGTCCTCACTTTCAGCAAGCAAGGTTGTATTATCTGCATGATCCCAGTTTTTGATGAGTCTCCCTCCAATCCTGATGCCACATTCTTCCTCATAAAGGTCAGCTTCTTGAATAATTTGCTCAGCGTACAGATTGAATACGTATGGAGAGAGAATACAACCCCGACACACTCCTTTCCCAATTCGAAACCATGCAGTGCTCCCCTGCTCAGTTCACACAACAGCTTCCTGGTCCAAGTATAGGGTCTACATTAGCACAATCATGTACTCTGGGACTCCCATTCTTCTCAGTGTCAGTTACAACTTGTTATAATTCACATAGTCAAATGCCTTTGTATAGTCCCTAAAACACAAATAGACATTCTTCTGGTATTCCTTACTTTCAGCCAGGATCCATCTGACATCAGCAGTGATGTCCCTGGTGCCACAGCCTCTTCTGAATCCTGCTTGAACTTCTGGAAGTTCCCTATCTATGTACTGTTCCAGTCGTTTTTTAATGATCTTTAGCAGTATTTCACTTGCGTGTGATATCAATGATATTGTTCCATAGTTTCCACATTCTAGGGGATCACCTTTCTTGGGAATGGGAACAAATCTGGGGTTCTTCCAATCTCTTGGTCAGACAGCCATCCTCTAAATTTCCTGGGGTAGACTGGTGAGTGCATCCAAGGCTGCATCTATTAATTAAAATAAGTCAATTGGTATCCCATCGATTCCTGGGGCCTTATTTTTTGCCAGTGCCTCCAATGCAGCGTCTACTTCCTCCTTCATTACCATTGGCTCCTGTTCATATGGTACTTCCTGAAAGTTTTCAATGTCAATTCTTTCTGGTACAATGACTGTGTATTCCCTCCATCTGCATTTGATTCTGGGTCATTGACTATATTGTCCATAGCATCTTTCAGTTTTGCGACACAAGGCTTACACTTGAAGGAATGTTTACATTTCCTAAAATGGAGAGTCACACATTCAACAAATGACTGATGTGTGTTCTGCAGGATTTGTTAGAGCAAATGAAGTAACATCATGTCAGAAGGAAGCATGGGAAGGAGGAACAGTGAACAAGGGGTTGTCAAATGACTCTCTCCTAACATCCATTTCCAGCCTAATGTGACTTAGCCTCTTATACAATTTGACTAAGCCGTTATTTCTAAAGCAAGCCATGGAATCGTTTTCAGTGTGGGGTGTTAGTGACGGATTATAGCCCAGGTCAGTTCTAGTTGGAATCCGTAAAAATCTATTTTTTAAAAAACAACCATTTGATACAGGAAGAAGGGAGATTAAATAAATTCTAATCAGAAACAGAAGCATCACGAATTTGACTAAGAGGAAGTGAGTTCAACTACAGATAATTCATTGAGCATTGCAAGTTACAAGAGCAAGTTTATCTTACAAGATTTTGTTAGTTTCCTCATTCCTACAGTGTTATCTGCCTCCTTATTTTAAGAAACATTTTTTATCTAGTTAAAATTTACAAAGAGCCTAATTTGAGGGTCAGAATGTGAAGCTACAACATGATGCAGAGTGTCTTGGCAGCACCCTTTCCACTAGGACGTCATGCTGTCTGACCTCTGAGGTCAGCTCTGTAAACATTAACAGGCATCAAGAAATTCTTTTTCCAGGTTAGAAACCTGACACTTGCCTTTTTGTTTTCAGTTAGAAGTACTTGGACCCTCTCTCTGCCAAGACTGGATAGTTTCTTTTGAAACGTAGAGACAAAATTTTTATTGCATTTAAAAATAGGGTTTTTAAATGAGATAAGAAGTTAGCCACTTCTTATGTGCCAGCACCTCAATTTTTATGATGAAACTCACACTGTTAACAATAAAACATACCTACTTCCATACCCAAGGAGCACCCAACAGCCCCCCATGGTCCTAGAGCTGTGTTCCAGCCTTCCACGTGTGGCGACCAAGATCCTCCTGTCCTGGTTACCTGATCTTCCATCATGCCATTGGCCTTGCAGACCTGTGCTCCTAAAGACCCTACCAACTCCAGAGTGACACCTGCACCTTCTCCCCACAGCAGCATCCACCTTCTGTGTTTCAGGTCTTGTAAGTAAGGTTTTTCCTGTTGAGACCCTGCTTGAAGAAGCCATTGCCTGTGCAGAAAAGATTGCCAACAATTCCAAAATTGTCGTAGCGATGGCCAAAGAGTCCGTGAATGCAGGTAGGGCTCAGGGTGGGCCGGGCAAACTTTGCAGAGCAGGTGTGATGCTTGAGCTTTTCCATGGGCAGCATAGAGTTCCCACACTCATGTGCTTGAAGGTTTAAGCATCCTTTGTCCCAGGGCCCAAGGACCAGCTCGTGAAGACCAACTACTGTTAGCACTTGAGCACAAAGGCCAGCCTGTCTGTCTGTCTGGAGGCCTCCTGTTCTCCCTGACAGCAAGGACCAGACTTGCACCACCTCAGGACTGCTTGGGTTTTAAACTGTCATTCATTTTACATCTCAAACACTTGTTTGTTTAAAGGGCCATGGACTTTGGAGGAGTGTCTCCTCAGGCCACCCCCTTAACCTTGCACCCATTTGCCTGCTGGAAAGTCTGTGCCAGTCTTAGAGAAACGGCATGTGCAGTGGCTTCCTTTAGGCCTTCACTGGGTGACAAATACACGGCATTTTTGCTCCTAGTGACACCTCGTTGCTTTTTCCACACCAGTAAGACACTATGAATTTGGAGTAAAAAAATAGTTCCTAAATATCAACTCAATTCTCATCTGTACACTCTCCCTCCCTTCCTCCCTAGGAAGGCTCTGGGCAGTGGCATTTCTGGTGTCCAGAGCCTTGTTAGTCTTCAGCCATTTTGCCCCTAAGCCTCAGGTCAAACATCAGGGACTGAGCATGTGTTTGTGAGGTGATGCATTTGGACAAGCTGCTGAACCAGTAAGGCCAGAAAGAGACTCTTGCAAGAATTAGCTTTGCTGATTACATATCAATCACAGTGCACTTAGAGGACACGGGTGCAGGGGAGGTGTCACTGAAGAAAGAATTCTAGCATTCCTACTTATAAATATCTCAGTTCCTAACTCCAGAGCTTCTCTTCCAGCTTTTGAAATAACATTTTCTCTTCCAGCTTTTGAAATGACATTAACAGAAGGAAATAAGCTGGAGAAGAAACTCTTTTATTCCACCTTTGCTACTGTGAGTAAACTGTATTCACTGGAGAATCACACTTTTCTCCCTGAGATCAGAGCTGTCTGTCCGCAACTGGATTCATGCTGCCTCAGATGTGGTGTCAGCTCATATCTCCAAGAGCACCCCCAGGTTACTTCTTGCCACCACAGGGCTTCTGAAATCACACCTGGACAAGCTTGGGTCGCCTTATCCCTGCTTCCCTAGACCATGCTGGTTATTTAGAAGCTGGTTCAAATGTATCTCTAAAACCAAGCATTTCTGCCAGTGACCCAATGGGCATCATTCTCATCACCATTATAATCCAGCTTGAGAGTATTAGGAAGTTGTGTCTAGGTGCCTTAAAAAAACTGAGTGCCATAGATTTGGAACATACTCATAGCTGACTCTTCAGTGGGTTTTCAGAGGCTATAAATTGTACAAGAGGAGATTGTCCATCTTTCTCCCAAGGAGCAACTGCTTTGGCTCTTGAAAAGAAAGTGGGGGGTGGGGGGAGAGAGAAAGTGAAGACAGGGTGTTTGTGTATGTATGTGTGTGCGTGCACACACGCATGTATGCACATATGTGGAAAGGATAACGATAGAGAGTCTGAGTTCTGGGACAGGAGATGCTTTGGTGAGCAAAGGCAGAGCATAAGGTTGTTGGCTTTGATTTTATTTCTTCTGCCAGAATGACCGGAAAGAGGGGATGACTGCGTTCGTGGAAAAGAGAAAGGCCAATTTCAAGGATCAATGAGAGCCAGACGACCATGCCTTAAAGCCTTCATCTAAGGAGAAAAAGTAACATCTTCTGTCTGAGAAGCAAATAAATCGTTCTCTCAAAGGATGCTGTAAGTGGAATGCAATCTCTCTCCAGCTGTGAGTGCTGGTGTGTGGGCACCCAGAGCCACTGAGCTGAGTGAGAGCGTGAGACCCTGGTTCTTCCTGGCCATGGAGCTGTCCTCTAGCAGCCACAACAACCAAATCATGACAATTTACTCACTGACTGATCAGCCACATTCTCCTAAATTGGATTCCACTCAGGAGCTGTCTGAAATCTGCATTCCTGACTTCATGACCTTAACAGAGAGGCCTCAGTAAAGATGATCTGTTTCCACGTAGTGCATGTGTTCAGACAGAAAGCACTAAGAATAGGGTTGTGTGATTAGGACTGCTGGGACACGTCTAAGCCCAGAGGGACCTGTTGTGGGCAGACTTCAAACAGACACAGTAGATGTGACTTCATTTAAAAAGATTAAATCATCTACTGGTTTGATTTAAGTTAGTATTGTTTTGGGGGTGTTTCCATTTCTTTTTGTCATTGAAAGTAGAGACATTGTAACAGGACAGTGGTCTGTACGATACAGCTGTGCTCACACTGCCAGGGTCAGTGGGACCACTACCTCCCTGCTGCGCAGCTTTCCTGAAGTTTTACTTTGCATACATGCACTTACAGGTACATGCCCACACACACAAGTGTGCATACAGGTATACACATGTGCAGGTCACAATTCCATTTTCTTTCCATGAAATGACCTTCCCTTCCCCAAATCAATGCACTGATCATCCTGCCTCTCTCGTGCAGCTCCATACTGATCTCATTTTACAGCAGGCTCCAGATGGCCCCAAGGGAGCTAAGACATGAAGTAGTGGCAATGAATGACCTCTTCCGTGCTGGCATTCAGGCCACGTGCGTGAGCGAGATACTAAGTATCCACACAAGTCCCTGCCTTAACACAAGCCGATGGAAGAGGGCCTGTTAAGGTAGGAACCTGGGGTGGAGGGCTCTTCCTCTCACTAATCACCAAGCCATGCCCACTGTGTTGACTCTGACTCAGGGTGACCTTCTACAGTTTTCTGATGCTGTACTGTACATCTTACTTAACAAGAGGAGATTGCCTATCTTTGCCTCATGGGGCAGCTGGAATATTTGCATACTGACCTATTTGTTAGCAGCATAGCTGTACTCTATGCCACCCGTGCTCCTTCCTCTTGCTGTACAGCTGTGGACTGAATAAAAGTGGGAGGACTATACCTAGACCTTTTACTCTGAACACACTGCCCCAGACTTACTGAGGAAGAAACCCAGGAAGTACAGCCTGAACGGTCGGTCACCTGGAAGCTGGGCAACATTCTGCATCCTTTGAGAAACATTCCAATGCTGCAGCCAATCAGAAGAGCACACCACCATCCACTTTCTGCTTAATGCTAGCCATGAAGCAGTTCACATAAAGGGCCCTGGGCAGCTCCATACGTAGCAAGGGGTAGACGGCATCTGATTAATGTCCTCTACAGGGAGATGAGATGACCACCAAGTAGATCAGCATCCATCCCTACACACACGTAAAACCTTTGTGGTAACTTTCCCTAGCTAGGCTTCCCATTCCTACTGCCTCCCTCTGGCCTGGGGGTGTGAACCTGTCCAAGAGCTGATAATAAATTCCTTTGTTTTACTTCATCTGGTTCTCCGCCTTTTTGCTTTTTTACCTTTCACAGCCAACAGCATCACCAAGCAGTTCCCTGGGGCCTGGAGACCAGGCACAAAGATGAGGCAGGTGTCCTAGAGGGAACTTGGTCCTATATTCTGGACAAAGGCCATGTCCTGAAGCTCAGAGGGGATGTGCATGGGCCAAAGTGGCAGTCACTGCTTCGAGCATGAATGCCCATCCCTCAGGAGTTTAGGTCCTTGGATAGAGTGCTATCCCCATAAATGGCACCAGGTACCACAGAGACCCAGTCATGGTCACAGTACTGCAGACATGGGTACATTGAGGGCCCCCTACCAGAACCCAGCCGGGTATGCTGTGTGTGTGGGAAGCTGAAGGTGGGCCTGGGGTGATGTCCACACACTTCCTTCACTGTCCTCAGAGGAGACCCCAGGGCTCTCATTGCGTTTGTTGTCCTGTCTGTAGTGGAATTGTTATTGGAGAAACAAAGTCCTGCTGTCTGCCACTGGCAGCCCGATCATGGAGACTGGGCAGAGGGGGCTTTTATACGTTCATGTATAGGAGACGGGGGCAGACACACTCATCTTGCTTGCTTAATCTGTCTCTCTGGTGGAAGCTTTGGCGCCTTTTAAAGAGCAGATGCAGGGCAATAAAGTGCATGAGAATCTACACAATGCCTCTTCTTTTCCAGATGCCTGGACCTGCTGATGCTGTTAAGTGCCATTGAATTGAGTATGACTCATAGCAACCCTGTCCTGTGCTATTACATCTCTGATACACTTGAGCCCATTCTTTTATTATTATTATTATTATAATTATTATTATTTGTGTGTGTGTGTACCGTGAAATCAGATCTGACTGGTACAGGAGGAGATTGTTCCTCCTTTTCCAGCAGCATCTGGTGAGCCCATTCTTAAAGTCACAGTGTTGTTCCATCTTGTGAAGAGTCTTCCTTTTATGCTGACCCTCCACCTTCCCAGGCTTGATATCCTTCTCCAAGGACTGGCACCTCGTAACAAAATGCCCACAGAATGTGAGATGAACCTTAATCCTCCTTGCTTCTAAGGAGCATCCCGGTTGTACTTTCTCTAAGACAGGCTTGTTCCTTTTGGCAGTCAATGGGATATTCAGCACTGTTCTCTAGCACGACAGCTCAAAGGCATCAATTCTTTTCCTGTCATCCGTATTCATTGTTCAGGTCCTAGATGCATAAAAGGTATTCAGGTGCATCTTAATCTCGAAACTGACATCGCTGCTCTTCCAGACTTTGGAGAGGTCCCTGATAGATTTTTTCCAGTGCTGTAAGTCTCTTGATCTCCTGGCTGCTGATAGCAAGGGTGTTTATTGGAGAGGTCTTTAATTGAGAGGTAGGTCACTTTAATCTTACCTGTTAGTTGCAGAGGACATTCCTAACTGCTCAAGGTAGTTTGTTGTTGTTATGTGCCATCCTGTTGTTTGTGACTCATAACGACCCTATGTACAAGAGCCCTAAACGCTGTTCTATCCTGTGCCAACCTTGCTGTCTCAAACACATTCATTCCCACCATTCCACTCACAGAATCAATCCATCTCATTGAGGGTCTTCCTCTCCTGTGTAGTCCCTCCACTCTCCCAAACATGATGTCCCTCTCCAAGGACCAGTCCCTCCTTGCAATATGTCCAAAGTATGTCAGACGAAGCTTCAGAATCCTTG